GCGCGCCCAGGCTCTGCAAAGCGGGCCCTGCGGACGGTGGGAGGCGGCAGGTGATGGGAGCCGCTTAGCCAGCACCGGTGGGAGCCCAGCTATTTGTCGGGACCTCGGAGCAACGAGTTCTCAGCTGGAACCTCGTGTTTTCCTTGACACAAAGGGTGAAAGCGAGAGAGTTCGCGAAGAGTGTGCAAGGGGCTCACGGGGCTGGAGGTGCGGCCAGGAGCAGAGGAGGCGGCTGGGGAGGTACCACGTGGCCCAGCTACAAGGAGCCGCCTGGCAGCCCCTCTTGCTTTGTCATCCTGCGGCCTGCTCCAGCACTGGGGTGCTGTGTTGGAAAGAGAAATACTCTGAGTGGGTCCTTAAGGCAGAGGAGTTAGTCACAGATTGTTGGGGGACGCTAGGTCTGAATGCTAACTCAGAATTTACCCGGTCCTCGTCTAAGTCTTCTCTTCTGTGAAGTTGTGTAAAAAGAATTACTACCTTGTGAGATTGCAAGATATATGTATGACCCTCACTGAACATAGTGTTGGGTGTGTCTATAAAATCAAAACTGGGAAAAGCCTGACCCAGAAAGGTAGACGTTTAAGTATGGAAAACTCTAGATGTTGGCCTGGTATATTGTTCAGGCTTTGGAGTCAGACTGAGTTCAGATTCCAGCTCCGTAGTTTATAGTCCCTTACCTCACTTTTCTTATTTGAGAATGGAAATAACCTACTCATGTGAGAATTAAATAATATACAGAGTGGGAAAAAGTAGTTTCTCAGTTATATGGAAAAAGACATGCCAGTTATAATTATTACAATAGCTTTATTAACTCAAAAGAATGTCATAATACAACGGTGAGCCTACTTTTGCCCATCCCTGTATTTATAAAGCATTTAGAAGTGTCAAGCACAGAGAAAAACATAAATTATTGTTTTTTAAAATATATTTTTATTTCGGAGAGGGAGAGTAAGAGGGAGAGATAGAAGTATTAGTGATGAGAGAATCATTGATTGGCTGCCTCCTACATGTCCCCCACTGGAGATTGGACCCCCAACCAAGCCCACAACCCCATATATGCCCTGACTGGGAATTGAACTGTGACCTCCTGGTTCATAGGTCGATGCTTAACCACTGAGCCATGCCAGCCAGGCTAAATTATTGTTAATAAATAAAATAAATATCATCTTGAATTTGAGTTTGAGACCCAAACATTTTTTTCGGAATTTTTCAAATGCATCTCCTCACTTGAGACTCACATGTGGGAAAAGCAGACACCTCAGAGCCCAACCCTTTTTCCAGCCTTGTACCCCACTAGTCTGCACTCCCGGCAAACTGAACCCAATGCTTTCCTACCAACCCTACTTTGTGGTGTACTTTCAGATGCACAACATCTTCCACCTTGTCCACAAGGACCACCCATACCAACTCCAGGTGAAAAGAGGGGAGACATCTGGCCAACGGGTGTGGGAGTAGGAGCCCAGAAGTCGGAACTGTCCTCCCTGGCCTCGAGGGGTGAGGCCTGTTCCATCTCCTTCACCCCTTGGGGGTGGGAGGGGACCTGCGTGAGGTGAGGGACAGTGGAACAGGAGAGTTCCTGGGAGAGAGGCACCCCACCCCGACATCTGTCCTTGGGGAGAATGATGTCCCAGATGGGGTGGGGAGAAAGGGCCTGGAGGGGGAGAGCTGGAAGGAAGCAAGGACACCACAGGGACTCGAACCCTGACCCAGCAGTGCTGGGTGTGCCACCACCAGTGCCTTTTGCTTTTTCCTGCTCATTTTCTCACAGATTCAAAGGTGAAAAGCAAAACCTGAACGCGGCCATGAGCCGCGTCCAGTAAAAGAAACACCTGCGGCGGCTCCGCGCCTCCCCATCCCAGGCTCACTCCTACCCTGACAGCCCTGCCAGGTGCGGCCGGGGGACACACGTCCCCTCAGGCCCACGTTGCCTGCTGTGCTGGTGCTCCTTCCGCTGCAGGAGCCATGAGGTCAGACGGCAAACGGAACTGCACATGGTCCTGCCTGTTCTAGCAGTGACAGCTGTGTATGTGCATAGAAATGTCCAGAAACGTTCAAAGGAACTGGAGGGATGGGTGAGGGAAGGGACTTTACTACCATTTTGTATCTTTTCCAGGGCTTGGATGTTCAACTCTATGTGGATTATTTTTATATTTAAAGGTAAAAATCTTAAGCTCTGCAATCAGAACAGGAAACCTAAGACCTAGGGGGCAGGTTGAGCACTCCGGCCTAGCTCAAATGCCAGCGGTGACCTAGGTCTGCTGCGCCCTGGCCACGTGGGGTGCACAAACGCCCACCTGCCGGCTTGCAGGCCTCCTACCGCTCTCCAGCGCCGCTGTGGATCCTTCCCGGGAACTGCCGCTACTCGAACATGAAGTCGGACGCTCAGTGCCCCCACCGGCCTCTCTCCTCTCCTCGGACTCACTGGAGTCTGAGTTCCGGGGAGGACGGGTCCAAGTCGCCAGGGCCCAAGATCCACGAAGCCCAATCTGGACCCTTAGCCAGTATCTGCCCCAGGCCACCCTCCAAGCCCCCTGCCCGCAGCACCCACTGCTCCCAGCCCAGACTCTGCACCCCCGGGCCCCCGGCGGGTCTGGTGGGAGCAGCTCCCACTAGCTCTGCAGTTCTAGTCCGGGAGTCCTGCCCCGCCTCTCACCGGGAGCAGTCCTGGCCCCTCATGTCAGCTCAAGGAGTTCAGAAGTCCCTCCCCAGCAAGGCCAGGTGAGAAGCTGAGGCTCACAGAGGGGTGAATCCTGCTCAGGGTCACACACAGCGGAGAACTGGGTCCTTTCTACTCATTCCGAGGATTGAATGCGAGCTGAGCCAGCCCCACTTCACACACACACACACACACACACGAGTCCTATAGTCACCCACACTCATACACACACTGTTACAGTAATAGTCACACACACACGAGTCATATATAAAGTCATACACAGACATACACAGTCATAGACATACATGAGTCGTACACATAGCCATGCACAGGCATACACACACACACATGGTTTGTGGATGACCAGATGGGCTCAGAGCCAGTCCTGAAGGCCCAGCCCCCAAACCTCTCACCCGGCTCCCTCCACCCGACCCTCCTCCTGGCCCATCTGCCTCACAGCCTCCCTCCAGCTTCAACCCAAACACACCACAAAGGAGAGGCACTTACTGATTGCAGCAGGAGAGGGGAACCATGAACGGCCATCTAAGTCCCAACCTGACGATGAAGTAACAGAGCTCTGGCCTTAGGAGGCCTCAGAAATGTGGGAAGGCAGAACATACTCTGTAACATGAGCAAAGAATTAATGTAACACGTTAATGACCAGATCTCAAGGCTTGTACTGTGGGAACCCCCAAGAGTGAGCTAATAGGGTGGAAGTTACAATGGCTTCAAGGAACCACTCCGCACTCAGTCCATGAGCATGAACAAAAACGGCTGCATTTGCAGGGCAGTGGGGGAAAGTGTACATAACTGCCCCTGAGAACCATCTGGAGGGCACAGGCAGCGAGCAAGGAGAACAGAGCACCTGCCCTTCCTTCAGCCAGTTGGGCCGCAAACCAAAAGAGGGACTTGCCCAAAGCCGTTTGTGACAGCGTCATTTGTAACCACAAAATGCCGTAACCACCCCTCCCCCCAGTGGCTCACAGGGGGCCCTGACAGGCTCACACACCAGAGTGCCCCCGAGGGTGCCATCCTGGCGGAACTGTGCCCATAACATAACCTGAAGTGGAAAAGCAAAATAACCACTCATCACAACCGTGTAAAATAAAGCATGATGAGCAGAAAAGAGAAGTAAAAATAGCTTCAAAAACACCTCAACGGATGAAAATAACCGACAGGTACTTCAGTCAAATGCAAACAGGACGCGGCCGGGTGGGCGGGCGCAGGTGCAGGCCTGGCCTGTGGACATCAGACACAGTGAATTCCAAGCAGAAAGCCCTGCACAGAGGAGGGCGGTCTGTGCTGCTGGGAATCTCCAGGTTCCAGTAACACTGCAGGGGACACGGGGACAGACTAAGCCGCCTCGGAGAGGTGAGAGCAGCGAGGAGTGGGGCTGTGATCCCACTTCTCATTTCAGGTGCAGCGGGTCTGGATCGGACGGAGAAACACCCGAGGCAGTGGCTGCTCCAGACAGGACGTGACACGGAGCACCTCTGACTGCCAGGGGACGTCATCAAAATGTCATACCTGGCCCTAGTCGGCGCGTGGACTGAAGGTCCTGGGTCCAACTCTGGTCCTCAGTTGCAGGCTCAATCCCCGCCCGGTTGGGGCACGTGTGGGAGGCAACCAATCAATGTGTCTCTCTCACATCAGTATTTCTGTCTCTCCCCTTCCCTCCCGTTCTCTCTAAAATCCATGAAAAATACCCTCAGGTGAGGATTAACACAACAACAAAAACCTATGTGCTTATCATACCTGAAACGATGAAAAAGGGAACCATAGACTCCAAAAAGCAGGAACTGTACAGGCTGCTTGCTCAGGTAACCAATCATTCATTAAATTAGAAATAGATTACAATAGTTAACAATATTTCCCAAACACTTAGAAATTTTAAAGCATGCTTTTAAATAACTAGTCAACTTATATGGCAGAGCTGAAACCACAAAGCACACAGGACATGAGGACAGCAGATCTTTCCCCAAGGACAGTTGGGAGGCCTCCTGGCCCCTGGAGTCACATCCGAATCTGAAGGTGGCTCCAGCCCCTTCACAGCTCAGGGGCTGCCATGCCCTGGTCTCCGCTGGAAATGCTCTTCCTCAGACAGGCCGTCCCTCCCAAAGGGGAGCTCACAGGTCCCTCCTCCAAGTGAGGGTTTCTGTCCTTACTCCCAGGCCACGCTCCTAAAAACCTTAATTCTTTGAGAGAGGGGAGAAGGGAGAGAGAGGGAGAGAAACATCGGTTTGTCACTCCACTCACTGATGCGTCATTGGCTGATTCTTGTATGCCCTGACTGGGACGGCTCTAACCAGCGGAGCTACCCGCCAGGGCTTCGGGCTGCACTTCACTCCGTTGTGGCTGTGACCACAGCGGTGCTAACCTAGTCTGTGCCATCACCACCTCAGGCCTGTGCCCGTGAGGGGGCGCCGTGAAGGCAGGGCCAGCCATCCTGTGTGCTGTGTCTGTGGGACCAGCTCGGTGTCTGCCACGGAGGGCGTTCCTGGAGGGACTGCTAGAAGCGGACACTGAGGAGGAGACAACAGTCTGTTCCCTTTGCCGAAGGCCCCCAGTGCCTGCCGGCCCCGGCCCACCAACAGGATCCCGACGTCCTCTCGGGTGGCACCTCAGCAGCTGAGGCCTGTCCTGACCACAGGGTGACGGCTGGCGCGGCTGGAGCAGGACCACCTTGTGCCAGGGCCTCCCTCCCGAGGCTGCACCTTCCCTTCCCACTGTTCAGAGTATGAGGGTCTGAACATAAATGAAGACTGGAAAAGGGTAACAAAACCAACCCAAGGAAAGCAGAAGGAATTAATGCAATAAAAGTAGAAACTAATAAACTACAAAATGAAAGCAGAACTGTTTCTCTAAAGCTGTTTCTTTGAAAAGGTCAATAAAATGCATTTCTGGAAAGTCTACTAAAGAAAAAAAAGAAAAACTAGGAATCAGAATAAAATGAGAAAACTACTCAGAATATTAAAATGGAAAAGCATATTTTACACTGATACTTATGAAAAAGGTAATTTTCTTAGAAAATATAACTTTGAAAAATTAACTTATGATGAAATAGAAACATTGACTAGCACAGTAACTCAGGAGAAACGGAAGAAGTTTCCAAAGAACCAGTGCTCTTGACCGTGCCTTCCCGCGTTCTGCCTGACAACGCCCTGAAGTCGACGTGGACCTTCTGACTGATTTCTGTGTCGACAAAACAAAGCTCCAGGCCAGGGAATGGTTTGTTTCAGAAATCACAGGACAGCAAACGATTTCATTAATATTAATACAAACCTTAATATTCCATTAAGATAATTAATCATTAGAAAATGAAAGGAGAAAACCTGAGCCTCATCTCAAGACGCAGAAAAGACATTTTAATAAACCCAACATGTTACTGATGAAAACAACAAACGCTTCTGAGCAACCCAGACGCCAGCACACCTAACGCGATGCCAGGGGACATCACACGCGAAGGGACACACCGGGGCAGCACTCACCCATTTCACGGTCAAGGATCACCCTCCTTTTCCTGCCTCCAGACACCGGTGGTCTCATCGGGACACCCTCCCTCCCAAACTTTCACCATTCCCACAGCACTGGGAGACTTTTGCCACATCTGAGTACAGCAGTGCTCCCCATCCCCATTATATCAATTCCTTTTTTTTCCAATTTAAATTATTATATATGTCTCCCCCCCCCATTGACCTCTTCCCAGCCGCTCCCACCCCCCAGCACATGCCCTACTATGTGTATCTATTGGTTATGCTCATACGCATGCATACAAGTCCTTTGGTTGCTCTCTCAATTCACTTTTTAAATGTAAATTTATTTTATGTCCAAGGAACTTATCAAGAAAATGGAATCACAAATTGCAGATGGGAGAAATTATCTGCAAATCACGTATCTGAGGGAGGTCGTACCCAAACTCCATACAGAACTCCTGTAACTCAGTAATGAAGAGACAAACACCCGAGTTAAAAGTGGCCAAAGGATCAGTGTAGACACTTTTCCAAAGAAGATACAGACATGGCTAACGAGCACATGAAGAGGCGCCTGACGGAACTACACGAGATACCGCTTCCCGTGCCCATGGGGGCTACCGTAAAACCAGGTAAGGACAAGTGCTGGCGAGAACGGAGACGTGGAGCCCTCACAGATCACTGGCGAAAATGTAAGACGGTACAGCTACATTGCAAAGGTTTGGCAGTTCCCCCAAAAGTTAAACACAGAGTTATTATATGGCCCAGTCATTCCTCTCCCAAGTAGATATCAAATCAAAGAGAATTTAAAACTTAAGTTCATACAAAAATTTCCTCACAAATGTTTATAGCAGAGTTATAATAGCTAAGGGAGTGGGAACAACCCAAATGTCCAACTGACATTTGCTAAACCCAACGTGGTGCATCTACAACAGAACATGATGCCGTCATAGAAAGAAACGCAGTGCTGGTAAATGCCACAATATGGACAATCCTTGAATTCTTCATGCTAAGTGGAGTAGGACGGACACAAGGACAGGCATGATTTCACTTATACGAGATACCAAGAACAGGTAAATTCACAGAAACAGAAGCCACCAGGGACTAGGGAGGAAGGGACGGGAAGTTATTGTTCAATGGGCACAGAGCTTCCGTTTGGGATGATGGAAAAGTTCTGGAAATGAATACTGGTGATGGTTGCACAACATAGTGGGATGCTAAAACCCACTTTCTTGCAGTTTAAAAGCATGCATTTTATGTTGTGTAAATATTTCAATTTTAAAAAGGAAAAATAAATTTATTTTAAAAGGAAACTTTATATTACCACCATAAATAGAAAACCAGTGTTTTTTTAAATATATGTTATATAAATACAATATAAACACATAAATATTAGAATTTAAAATGTCCACCAGCAGGCCGCCCAGCTTGTCCTGAGGACCACTGGCAGGACAGTCACCCCTCAGCCACCTGATGCGGCTGCTGGGGCCTATGCACCTCCCAGGCCCTGCCTGACCCCCTTGTATTTGCTCACAGATCCCAGTCGAGGGTCAGGTGGGAACAAGGCCACGATGCTCACAGCTCACTGGTAATTAGACAGGTGAGAGAAGCATGAAAAATGGACTAAGTCACATGATAACATACGTATTAAAGATGACTGGCTACTTACGTGGACACCCCACCAACAGTGCCACTCCATTTCAGGAGCGCACCAAATAAGCACAATGCTTGCTTAACCCTCGTCATATTCTTAGTAAATAATACGATGATACTTTTTAAATACGGGAAACTAAGGCAGGAGGCTGGTCATGATGGAGGTGGGTCCAGTGTGAGAGCAGGTGAGCGGATTCGAAAGCTTACAGTTTTAGCCAAGAGGCTGCATTACCTGTATTTGGCCCTAACACTGAAGTTCAGCATAATTTACTACACACACACCTACCATATGTTTCCATCATCTGAACTTTGTTTCTTTTATGAGCAATAACTGTACCTCGGATTAACCTCATTGGCTACGACGCTGCCAATGTGCAAAGCTCATCTGAACTTTTAATTGAAAAACAGATCCAACCACGATACAGAACAGCAGTCCTAAGAACGCCACAGACGTGCACAGCTTGTATAGGCGAAGCATAAACCACCCGAGTCTAAACTGCCTGGTGACAATCCTCCCGTCTGAATGCACACGGAGGCCAGTTTCTAAATGGAAAGTCTCGGTATTATGATGTTTATGTTGATAATGCAATTCCAATAAAAACCTATTTATTATAAAGCTAAAATAATTAAACCATTGGGCTGGCCCACAGAAAGGTCAGTGGAACAGACTGGAAAGCTCAGAAACAGAACTTAATGAAGTAGTGGCGTTTCAAATTGAGAGAGAAAGAATTACTCAGTAAATGGTGCTGGGAACTTTGGTTAGCCATTTTGAAAGAACTAAATTAGATTCTTACCTCATACTGTACAGCAGATTAACATCTAGACGGATTAAGAGTTAAACGTCAAAATTAAAATCACAAGGGAACCAGAAGAAAATAAGCATAATACCAAAGTATGAAATTAGTAAGAAAACAGATTTGATTACAAAACGTAAAACCGTCGGCAAGACCCAACATGCAAATTTAAAAGGCAAAATTCAAACCTGAAAGCTGCTGTGATATGTAAGGGGAGCCGCCCTCAACAGAGGTCCCGGGAAGTGGAAGCTTAAATGAAGCACAAACAGAGAACACAGCTCATACCATCGAAAGTGCAAATGAAAACGCCGAGACCCTGTTTTTGCCTCCCAATCAGCAGAGATGGAAACAAACCCGGAGAGCAGGGCTGGGGGACGGCTGCTGGGGGGGGCCTGGGGGAGCTGAGCTGTGCCCCGTAGGGGGGCACCGGGCAACCCCAGTCCAACGCCTTCATGCCGGTCACACCCTCTGAGCCAGTAGCATCACTGCTAAGGAATTCTCTTAAGGAAATAATCAGATTCATGCACAGCAACGTCTTAGGAAACAGGGGAAAGCATCCCACCCAGTTCCAACAGTGAGTCCGAAAAAAGGCATCACCAGAACACAGAGCAGCGCTTGACGGGAAACCGGCCCCACCAGCAGGCTCGGGCCGACTTCTGCGCAGAAAATGCATCACGGACGGAAGGCCTGGCGTGGCTTCGGCC